CTTAATAAAGATTTTAAAATAGTTTTGTTAAGCTAAAACATATACACAATCTGTGCAATAATTTGTGATAGGTAAAGTCTCTTGTGAACACAAACAATTTGTTGGTGTAAGACAACTACAAATAAAAGAGATGAAAGCAAAAACACTATCAAAAAGTTCCAAGAAACCAAAACATTATATCCTCATACCAGCAAAAGTTGGCCCACAAATCAGAATGGATAAGAAAAAGAGGTGAAAAAGAGTGATTGTGGGATTTATAGAATAATATTAGGCGCATCAACCTCCAATAATTATGCAAGCAGGTGACCACTACCATAATTGAATTGTGGTATATGAATGCATTTTAGAATCTCCTTTCATTATTTTATTTAACACGTTCTATACTTACAGAATCACCCATATCTTTTTACGTTTTTATTTATTTACTAGTGGGATTTTGGTTAATTAATGTTTAAGAATATTCGTTAATGAATAATAAATAAAAAATACAATTTGTTAGAGTAAAATATAATAAGAATCATTTATAAAGATTCTCTGACTCTTAAATTGATAAAATAAATGAATAAATAATATGAAATAAAAAGTATTTAATAATAAATGAAAATATCAAGACTTATGATAATAACCACTTCTATCTTTTGACAGTGATGCAGAATAAATCATATTAAAAGAAATACTCATTCATCTTATAAGTGCTCAGTATCTTCCTCAAAATAAAAATATTTATATAATCAAGACCCTGTTTAATATGAAATCTTAATCACAGAAAATTATGTATCACATAAACAATATTTAATATTATGTCATCTCATCACTTAAAAACTTACATGGATTTTAAATAAACTTACATTTACTTAGAACATTAGCATGTAGTGTAAATCTCACCTAAATTTAAACATCTTACAAAATATTCGTTTTGATGAAAAAGATATTAATGTGAATGATTAATTTAATTCTGTGGATTCTATTAACATACACTATTCATACTTAAAAATATTTTTCACTTTTTTCATTAATGTTTATCATCATTTACTGTATAAAAAAATTAAGTTATATTAATTTTACTTAACATTCTTTAACGTGCAACAATTCATAAACAATCTCATTATTTATAAGCGATCTTTAAGGTTGGTTTGTATTAGATATAAAAATTAGTTAAATATTATTTTTAAAAAATATAAAATTTAACTGTTGGATTGATTAAATTTGATCAGATTATTCCAGAAATAATTAATAAATTGTCATAGTTTTTAACAGATTGAAAATATAATATTTTCCACGCTCCTTATAACATATCTGAATATACATTATAATATTGTTGTCATTTATAATAGTAATTTTAATAATGATAAGAATAACGCATGTATAAAAATTATAGTGTGTTGGCATGTGCAACGTGGAAGCATAAGCCTAATGATGGGAAGTGATCAAGTCACTAGTAACTTCATCTCTGGATATTCACATCTTCCAGTACCTTCTGTGTTTTTTCTTTTATGTATTCCACATAGATATTAAGAACATGTGTCCAAACACCAATCACTCCCCTTATATAAAAAATATTAATTATAATCATCATTGTATCAAAAAAACTAACTATAATAGCATTCTTTGAAGTTCAAATCCCACACCTCACGTGCTTTTGAAATTCATAAACTTTTGATTCCACTAAAGTATGATTTTAACTATCCTCGTTTCGTGCAGTTAAAATTTTAAACTGCAATAGACCGTTGCCCCTACCATGTAACCATGTCGTGCCAAAGGGCTAAAAAGTTCAAAATAAGTGGCAAAAGGGTATATGATGAGGATCACCGACAGTGTTAGTGAAACTAATTTAATAATTTACCGTCGCAACAAACCCTTCAACTTTTTTTGGGTGGAGTGGATGAATCATTTTCCCCTTCAAAATTAAGGGACTTTCCCTCAAAATTGTAATTCATCTCCTCCTTAACTACCTCCACTCTCCACTCTCCACTCTCCACTTAGATATCCTCCACTCTCCACTCTCACTTAGATATCTGCATAATGATTATTAACTTGAAAAAATAGGAAAAAGATAAACATATTTTTTAATGAAAAAACATAAAAATTGACAAAATAAAAATGTAATAAATGATGATATGCTAACAGTAAAAAAAATTATATAAAAGATGGAAGAAGAGGTAAATAGCTAATGATAACAATTTTTCTTTTTAAAAAGTGAATAATACATTTACTAATTAACTAATCAACTATAATATTTTTGTATTGGCTGATATTATGATTTTTCACAATGCAAACATGTAAAAATTAAACTTTTGCAAAATTTTCTCATGTCATCACTTAATCCTCAACCTCGAGAGCACTATAAAAAAATTAACCCGTGTTCAATTTCACTTGTAAGAAAAAATATGTCATATATACTAAATAAAAAGTTATGAAAAAATATGACCGTAAAATAATACGCATTAATGTGTATAGTAAAACAGTAAAAGTACAATGAAATGTTTCCTTCCCAGGTTATAAGAATTAGAGGACAAAACTTTTTATAGATTCAACATAGGTGAATTCTACAGAAGAAGAACGACTTATAATCAAGTTTTAATAAATAATTAAATATATGTAATTTAATACTCCTCTAACTATATGTTTGGAATGCATAGATGCCTCAAAAGGGGAAATAAGAGAAAATAATTTTGTTGACTTCATAATGCGCATGAAGAGGAAGATGACGATGAAAATAAGAGAAATAAGTATATATATAATTTATTTCATAATCGGTTACACTGAAAACAAGTTTATAACTATTAGGTTTGTTTCAAAATTCATTTTTCTTCTTCATCCTTTCAAACTAAATAAGTTATTAAACAAATAGTCAATCTATTTTTTTATCTTCAACTAAATAATTCCTATTTCTTTTTTTTTTCATCTGGATTAAATAAATGTAGTTAAGACCTAATCAAACTTGTTCACACCACTTCAAGTATATACATCAAACTCAAGTCACATACTCTCAACAGTTTTAATTTCAAAGTTAGTGCATGACATTTTTTTAGGCTTAGTACTATCAAAATAATAATATAAAACATGGAGTACCCAAAAATAAATGACCTCACATGCAGTATAATGGACCCGTTTATCAACAGGCAAACTAATATGGCACAACGTTCAGCGGTCACTAGATCAATTAGGAAGATTAAACTTCGTTAAAATAAAATAAAATTAAAGGGGAATTTTTTTTTTACTTTAATACAGTAAAAAAAATTGTTGGAGAATGAGATGACTTGGTATAGGCTCTCAAAAATTACCTCCAAACAAGGGAATACGTGGATATACGTAAAATAAAATAAACTAATAACAATAGGTTAACTTTCAAATAAATATAAAATATTTAAATTCTTGATAAGAGTAAAGATTCATTCTTATGTGTGTGTCGTGTGCGGTAGTAGCGCTGCTACTTAAACTTAAGATTGTTATAAAAATTAAACTAGACTAAATCAACATCAAATTTAATTAAATTATATATATTTTTTAAAATTTAGTTTTTACAAATTGAATTATTATTAAATAGATTAAATAATTAGAATGACCAGTTTAATTTAATTCACTCAATATATAATATAATCATCACAACAGTTGTATAATTTAGTTTGTTGGAACTAAAGTTCGATTCAATTATAAATTTTTTAAAAATTATCCACTACAAGATGAGTTCTGTTGATTTTGATCATTTTATTATGAATGGAAAATATGCACAGATTCCTCACGTTCTTGACGCGTCACACGATTTTTTATTTTTTTTATGCATTTTTTAAAATCTGTCCCTCAAATCAATAATTTGCCCTTGGCTTCTGCTCCCCAGCCACCTCAAATAACTTTTCATAGTTCCGTGTTAGAAGTATATTTCAATGGCACTTTATTGGACTACTTCACAGTATATTTCAATCATGAACTTACTTTTTTATAATATTATAAAATTGTTTTGATTGAAAAAAATGAGTAAATTAATTTATAGTTGAAAATATCATTATTAAATAATCTTATCATCACGAGTATTATTTGAATAGTACTAATAAACGGTTTGAGTTGAATAATTAGTAACAAAATTCTTCTCATTCAAATAATAGAGTAATATTAAGTTAAAAACATTTTATCCTTATTATGATTACTAAAGATGGTGTGGCGGCGATATGTAAAAAGTATATCCTTTGTAAAGGAAACAAAAAGTTAGCTTTAAATTAAAGAAGCAAGTTTGAATTTAAATTTGATTTTGCGTTAACAATGAAAGTCAATTTATGCAATGCACTTCTCAGATAACAATGACTTAGTTGATGGATAAATTCGATTTGAGTTAGACTAAAGGGTGAATGAAAAAACTATTACTAACCTTTCTTGTTTATCCAAAACTTAAAAACATTAGCTAAATATGTATTTAAACAATGTGGGGTATGTGGAACAAAACCAAACACAGCATTGGCATCCAGGTCCGTCCCAAGCAACCAAACTGGTAGCAGGGGAGGGTAAGGAAAGTAAGCTTAACGTGCATGTCACGTCACATTCTTGTTGTGTTAAAAAGTTAGCAGGCCCTGCTCACTGACTATACCAACTTGGTCCACAAACTTTTGGAATTTCGGAAACCAGGTCTATCCATCCCTGGTCTTTAATGCAATTTTACGCAAAACATTTTAATTAGATTTGGACAAAACCAGAGCAGCGGACACATAACCAATCAACCAAACTCACTAGTGTGTAGTGTCGGTCTCTTTCTTTTTGGTTATAATTAATAGTGTCACTTTCAAAGTGCATCATTCTTCTATTATTATTCAAAACTCACTTTCTTGCTGTAAAAATAGTTTAAAAGATTCTAATACAACTGGCTCGTGACCCCGACAATTTCATAGGTCGTATAGTAATGTACTAATATATTCCCCTCTCTCCCCTTGCACTTTTCCACTCAACCCATCATTCACATTCAATCCCCCCTCCGCATTTTGTAGTTCTCCCTTATCTGCAAAAATCAACTAATGGCTCAGCTTAACCTTATACTTGTCTGGTTATTTTTCTTTACTCTATGTCTTCATTGTTGTCCTTCTACGGCCCAGCTAAGTCGACACCACTACGCCAAAACATGCCCCAATGTCGAAAACATCGTCAGAGAAGCAGTAAAGAAGAAATTTCATCAAACATTTGTCACGGTCCCTGCTACCATTCGTCTCTTCTTCCATGATTGCTTCGTGCAGGTAATCATTTGCATGCATTTGATTCATTCAACATACAATCAAATTATATCAATGTTGTGTGTGTGTGTGTGCAATATTACCACAGGGTTGTGATGCTTCGGTTTTGGTTGCGTCCACGGGAAACAACAAAGCAGAGAAGGATCACCCTGATAATCTTTCTCTTGCTGGAGATGGGTTTGACACAGTGATTAAAGCAAAAGCAGCAGTGGATGCAGTTCCGTTGTGTAGGAATAAAGTTTCATGTGCTGATATTTTAGCCATGGCAACCCGAGATGTTATTGCACTGGTTTGTTCATCAATCACTTGTTGTGACTCTAATTACCGTGAGAAACATTTTGATCCAATGACTAATCAGAAGCTTTATTGAAATATATGCAAATACATGTTCAGGCTGGTGGACCATTCTATGAAGTTGAATTGGGAAGATTTGATGGGCTAAGATCTAAAGCTTCAGATGTAAACGGGAGGTTGCCTCAGCCAGAGTTCAACTTGAACCAGCTGAATTCACTGTTTGCGGCGAACGGTCTCACCCAGACAGAAATGATAGCCCTATCAGGTAACGCGCGTGCTCAGAAAAACAGTGACACCAAATTATTGAATTCTACACAGTTGTCTTCACCCTTCTCACATGATCTCTGTTCCCCACAATTCCATTATTGAGTTTCAAAGTAACGGGAAAATTTTATAAATTTGAATTTCACCACTATCCTCTATCTCGCGATCATGTCTTGCTATGCTATTTTAATGATATGATCAATTATAAATATATTATTTGTTTTTTCTTTTTAACATGTGTTTTGAAGCAGAAAACAATTTAGTCTAAGTTTTGGTTAGTTTGTGTAAAGGGTATATGAAATTTCGTCTTAAAAGAAGAGTCAAGGTAAAATATGGCTTGATAAAGAAGAAGGGTTGAGGTAATTATAGTTTGGATTCTTTTGATAATTCATGTTACTCTATACAGGTGCCCACACAGTTGGATTCTCCCATTGCAACAAATTCTCGAAGAGAGTGTATAATTTCAAGAGCAAAAATGGAGTGGACCCAGCATTGAATGAGAAATATGCAACACAGCTAAAGTCAATGTGTCCAAGGAACGTGGATCCAAGGATTGCCATAGATATGGACCCAATCACACCACGAGCATTCGACAATGTTTACTTCAAAAATCTTCAGCAAGGGAAGGGTCTCTTCTCCTCAGACCAAGTCCTCTTCACAGATTCAAGGTCCAAGGCCACTGTGAATGCTTTTGCCAGTAGCAGCAAAATTTTTCACGATAACTTCGCTGCTGCCATGACCAAATTGGGCCGAGTTGGAGTAAAAAATGCACAGAATGGAAACATTCGTACCGATTGTTCAGTCATCTAATTTACCACAAACGACACATCTTGGGGAATTCGTTATGTATATTAGGTCTCCTTTATGTTTAAAGTAACAAGTATTGAAAGTATTTAATTTATCAACTGTCATCATTCCTCAGTTTTTTTTTTTTCTCTTTCAATTGTTCCCCTTAGATTAACAGGATTTTTTCCCAGAAACATTAAGGGATTCGTCTCGATGAAATATGAAAAAAAGGCCAACAATAATTTTTCCGAATTCACATAGGTTGCTGCTCACATTGGCAGGGAAAGTGATAAAATTTTGTATTGACATTCCAATTTTAAATTAACTAAGATAGAACTATTAATTAGAGAGAAAAAAATCCAGTTTCTCTATAAATTAAAATTAATTTATACACAAATAAAAACTTTTTATTTATTTTTTACTTGTGGTTTATTGTTTTGCCGACAAATTTGCTGTTCAGTGTGCTTTGCGTGATTTTATATTGATTTGTAAGACATACATCATACAGTCCACGGTATCCAAACGCAAACTAAAATTATAAATTCGACGAGTTAAGCACACAATCAAATGAAAATTGAACCAACTCATGCAAAAGTCCAAAAAAAATTGCTTGGGAAACTGACAAAATTTCCCTAGTTGCACATCAAAGTCTTGTACCATTCAAAAGGCACATGCATGCATTTCAACTTTTAATGAATTTTCAACCATGGTGAAAGGAGCCTGACCCACTAACTGTTACATTTTGATCATCAAAACATGCAAGACTCTCTCACATGGACAAAACTGGAACCCTTAGACTAGACTCCTTGTTTACAAAAAAAAAAAAAAAAAAAAAAAAAGGCAAAATCATAAAAGTTTCTGAGTGAATTTTTATTGGTGAGGACAATAAAAGAACAACACATTGTAACTATTTGGGGCTGATAGTTTTCATGTTCCGCATTTTATTAAAAGAAGAAAGGTTTAAAGAAAAGGAAGAAAAAAATGAAGGGTTGCTTAGTAAGGGATTTTGGGAAACTTTTAGGACGAAAAGGAAAGATATAGTAACTCAAGAGGGAGAGTGTTTTGCTATTCATGTGCTTTTGAGACAGTAAGGGGCTGCGTAGAAGTCCATTTTCTGCAATCATTATACTACTCTCAACTATTTTTGTGATGAGGTATATATGATTGAATTAGGAAAAAAGTTCGGTAAAAGTCAGTGTTTGAAAATGTTCCTCATATTATCCTCATGGTTCCCAGTGTAGGGCAATCTAGAGATTCACCTCAGATCCACTTCTCACGTTTTATTTTCACTCTTGAATCACATTTTTTTTCCTATTAATTATCAAATTAAATAAATGAAATCAAGTTATTTTGAATCATCGAACAATTATCAAAACATATCACCCAATTGGGATTGGTTCAGGTTACTATTTTTCTCTTTATCACAGTTTAAATTTGTAGGTTGATATCACACATAATGAAGTCAATCCGGCTTATTCGTTACGAAGTTGTATTAAAAATATATCAGTTTAATTTGATTTAAAAAAAATTTTTACGAACAAAAAATTTTATAACTTGGTAAATTAAATTAATTGACTCGTTTAAATGTGTGTTTATTTTTTTAAAATAATTAAAATAAGTGAATCAAATAAATTAATTATTTAAAATAGATAAATTTAGATGAACTAACTCATTAAAATATTTTTTTCCTTCGTAGATTTATAGTTACAGATGAATACAAAAAAATTTAAATATTAAAGATTGGAAAAAAAAAGAATCCACCACTAATTTAATTCGAGTCATATTAAATATGTCGGTTAATTTTGACTCATAAATAAAAACATTTAGATTCATTATTTCTACACTCTCATAATTTCATCAGCACTCGTGTTTACTTTAAAAGTCAATATTACTCTTATGTTTTGGTATTTTGGAGTGTCCTTAGCTGTTAAATTCAGAAAAACATTTTCAAATTTGGAAATTTCTTTTTTTAGTACCAAGGTGCAAGATGAAATTATGAGATGTAGAATAATGAACCAAACTTTTGAAAATTTTCAACCCAACTTGAAACCAGGTTGGCTTAACTCATGTTCGACAACGCTACCTATCAATTATGAAACCTCGATAAGAGATGGTTAAAAGGCTGTCCAATGTTATGGGTTTCTCTTAACCCTTCATGCATGGTTGCTTCATTCCAAAGGAGAAAACAAGGGCCCATTGATAGTTACACTAATGACTTTCACACCCACATCCAAAAATACTTGTTTATTAATATTATATTTATAAAGTGATTCAATTAAAATAAAATAAAATAAAAGTTATTATTTTATTAATAAATCAAATTGTTGATTGATTGTTTGGTAAAATTGGATTGTGCACCAATCCTTCTCCTACACTAATAAACCTCTTCACAGGGCCCTTTGTGTAAACCTAATTAATTTAATAAAAATATTAAATTAATTGTTAAATTATTATTTTAATGAGTTATTGAATGAATTATTTCTATAATAACTTCATCCGAAACTGTATAGTAATAATAATAAATATAGATTTTTCAAAAACAATATATTAAACTAATTTTTAGTTTTAACCGTGTGTATATAATTATATAATTCAATCATCACATTCTTAAAATAACACTGTTCTTATTATTGATTTAAATAAGTTAGGTTTAAGTTCAAATGAGCCATAATAAGTAAAATAAATGTTGAACTGTGCTTATACTGCGTGAAGTTTAACAAAATTATACGTAATAGTTTTATTTATTTGACATCATTTTGACCTGAAATAATTCACATTTAATCATAACAAAAGTGATATTATTAACTGTAATTTCAAAAAACGTTAAGTAGTGTGTTCCGGGCTACCATGGCCAAGCCCAATGGCTCAGCTCTACCAAACCAATTAGCCCAATTGATTTTTTGCGTGTGTGTATAATTAGCCTGGGAGGGTTTTCTTTTTTCATGTATTTTTTATTAAAAAATTGGAGTGCTTGTGATTGGACCGTTATGGGGGTTTGAAATTAATGTTTTTTTTTTATCACGTTAAGAATGTGTTTATCCTTTCCCTTTAAGAATTACCTCCAATGTTCAGGCAAAACTCAAAGAAATTAAGAAAGATTAATAACAGCAGGAAACTATAACCCATTTTAATTAGCATGCAAAGATTTGGATTCGTCATTATTGTGTTTTAACTGTAGACTTATTTATATCAGATATTGATTTCAGTTGTGTGATAATGTTACCGTGTGGTGTGTTTAGTAAAATCTCGAGTTATGGTACAGTGGATAAAAATAATTAACGAGCTTGATTTTTTAATGTAAAATAGTTGCCACTTGCCACATATGTGATATAATTTTTCATATTGTTCTTTTTTAAAATATTTTATATATAAAAAATTTTATTCAATTATAATTATACCATATATGTATTTATTGTAAAATGTGACTTTATAATTTAAGAAAAATAAATAAATAAAGATGCGTTGTGTAAATTATTTGTTTGTTTTGTTGTTTGTTGAAGAATATTTGTGAGGTATGGTATCATATATCTTGGATTGTGACTGTTTATAGGGATAGATTATATTCTCTCGTAGCTAGATGATTATTTTTTATATGCTAAAATATTATTTGTTTAGTCAGAAGAGAGGTATGGTATCATATATCTTGGATTGTGACTGTTTATAGGGATAGATTATATTCTCTCGTAGCTAGATGATTATTTTTTATATGCTAAAATATTATTTGTTTAGTCAGAAGAATAAGAAAGAATGCCGGAAAAGGTCCTAGGGCTAAGACTAGACCTCCAAGTCTCGAAACATTCTTCTAAATAATTTTAACTCGTTTGAAAATTCTACATAGGAATCTCATTATTTTATTTCCTTAAAAAAATTATAGTGCTTATCAGTTAAAACACATTATGTATTATTTTTCAAGTAACTTTTCAAAACTTGGTCATAGAATATTTAGATTATTGAACTAAGAATACAAAGTATATATTAATTTTATATTAGATAAATTAATTACTTTCAATGAATTTTCCATTTTTAATTACATGTTTTTTATGTCTTTAATTCAGTTTCGCTCATTTAAAAGCTGGTAATAGCATTCATCAAATTAATTTTGAAGTTTACTTATGAATATTCTCAAAATTAAAAAAAAAAAATTTCCCATACCACTCTCTGAAGAAAAAAATCTTGTCATATTTAATACCCTTTCTATAGAACTTGACCAGAAATATCAGTGAGATTTAGGTCTGGCCTTGTCACATTAATTTTATTTAACTTAGAGTTAATTTTGAGAACTTAAGTTTTTATATATTTTGAGAAAGAGTTTTATTTCAGAAAAAAAAATAAAGAGTTTATGTTATAAACTGTTATACTTTAACTGGTGTCTTATATTTGTCTAAAATGTATAATTATTTTTACATTTATATAAAAACAATAATAGCTTTTATTTAATAAAACTATTCTCTATAATATAATTGATATTGATTTGGTCTTGTTTATATTAAGAAATTACAAAATATACTTTAATTTTACTTTGTATTTAAAATTTTTACAATTTAAACAGGTATGATGTTAGGATTGATACATTGTGTATGTAAACCGTAAATAAATCACGATAACATAGTCTCACTCCGCGTATTTTGGATCTTAACACGTTCTGATTCGAGTCTACATAAAAGATCCTTAAAAAAATTCTAACTAAACGTAATGTATTACTTCAGTCCATTTCACGAATACTGTGCTTATAATAAATAAGATTTTATTCATTTTTTATGATTGTTAAAATTTAAATTAATTATTTTAATTATAAAATAATAATATTAAAAAAAATACACATTTAACTAAAACTTTTTTTTATGTTGAAGATCTTGTTTATTACACTATAATTTATAGTTTGATTTAAAAATATTAAATTAATAAAAACTTTAAGAAAATGTGAGATGGTTTCTGTATGAGTTTTTCTGAGTCCAATAAACTAAAGATAAATGAAATGAAGTTTAAAATTTAGCTAAAATAGTTTTTAGTTTCTAAAACTTGGA